GGAAAATCGTCGGGGCCAAGTCAGGAGTACAAAAAAATGGAAAATGGCAAGAAAATCAAGATAGGAACTCGGGCGAAAACGAAAGCAAACTTGCCAAAAGAGAGAAATTGCTTTGGCATAACTAGGGGAAGTGCATAAAAATGACAGAGATTGTACACTTGTACACTTGTATTTGCAATTGAGCGCACAAAAAGTTTTCATAAATTGCATCAATTTGGAGTTGAACGGAGGACGGGGACGGGAGGGTGCATCCCAGACTACGTCAAAGGTACGGGCTTTTCGATGTTGATTCTTATACCTTACCTGGTACTCGAAGTCTTTTGAGGGTATAATATTTTACCCGAAAGGCTATTCTAAAGGGAGGATTAATCGTAAACAAAGTATCATTAATATAAATTTTCCCTTAATCTTTAGAATCTTAGAATTAGGGAATCTAATAAAAAGTGTTCTAAATAATTGTAATCTCAAAATGTCTTCCTTTAGATTAGAGTTTGATAGATTTTACTTGAAATTGAAATGAGATATTATACATTTTTATAATCCAGGGAGTAACAGGTATCTCACAGTCGTGTCTCTTAAGGATACCACTATTTTTTTCTTCCTTACTGTCTTCTAGCGATATACACACATACACACGCGTAAAGGAAATCCTGTTGCGCCCTGACTGCTACAAAGCGGCATATTATTTTTTATGATTTGATTTCCCTTTTTATAGCGTTCCCAGCCCCCCACACAAATGAACTCTAAAACGCTGTTGATTGTGTATTGAGTTACTGAGAATGCCATGCCCTGGCGCCGCATTAATGTGAAATCATGTTTACAACTTGATTGAACTCATCAGCATCGACGCACAGGTCCTTAGAGCCCCCATCTCAAGACATGCAATTCCATTCGCATCTCCAACTATGACTACGTCTGGAAAGACATTGATAGTATCTCGGTATCCCGGTCTCGTCGCGCTCCTTGCGCGTGTGCCCAGAGTTTGGCTTTAATTGATTGCATTAGTATTCAATTACGATTGGTTCCTGCCTCCAGCTGGCCTCCCTGCGCTATATCGTTCTTTTCTGCGCCACTAATAATCTGATTAATGCGGCATAAATGCTAGTTTGCTTCGAGATGATTGTCTCGAGGCCCTTGTCCCTTGGCCGCTAAGCCATCATTTTTACATATAATTTCCAATTATCATAATAAGCTTTCAGGGCAAAAAAGTGGTGGTGGCTAAGTCCTAATGGAACAGAAAGCTCCAGGACTAATTTAAATAAGAAAAAGACACTCAAGTTTGCTGCTAGAGGGTCACAGGTGTTGTCCACAATTGGCATTAACTGCAGTAGCTTGAATCAATATAATTGTGATAACATCTAATACCTTAATTTTATTTATTTTTTTAACCGGTAGTAAGACATTTTATTTAATTAAGCCGTTTAAATTGAACTTAAGCCCTTTTGGTGTTATTATTTTGGCTACAGTGGTTGTCTTTCTTAAGTTTTTCATAAGTCAAGCGCCTAAGGTTTCCTTACCAAGGTTGCTTATACTCAATTAGTTTTTCACTTTGCTCAATTATATTCTGGCTCCACCGCTGGCTAATTCAATTTGGAAATCTTTCAACCATGGCAAAAGCCATGACCTTGCCCAAAGGCCAAGAAATCTATTCAAGGGCTTTGCTACTTGGCCTTGGGCATTGGGTTAATTTGATTGATTGCCTAAGGGGGTTAAATGAATTCGACTTTTGTGTTATCCCCAATATGGATACCCTCCTTTGTGCAATTATCATTCCGTTTTGCTGTGAAAATTATCATTCAACTAATAAATTAAATCGTTTTATTTACGATTGGTGTCTGCTTTGCAGCTGCTTAAATATAAATAACACTCATTATGCGCAGCTCAAATAAATATGTACGCGTCCCGGACTTGCCCCAGGACTCATGTGGCGGCATACAAAGGAGGACAGTGACAGTGGGACGTGGCACGTAGAGATGCCTCCGGCCGTGGTGCGTTTTTCGGCTCAGCGGTAAAGTGGCACTGTGGCTCCAAGAAAAATGTACTCCTAAATCTATGAAAAGTCAACGGACGACGTGGTTGGTCCTGGTGGCACGTGGGTGCTGCCTCCTCACGGCACGTGGTTCTGCCGGCGACATCCGAAAACATTGCCGAAATGTACACCAGCCTAGCACTTAGGCGATAAATGGAGTTGGAAAAATATGCACAGTAATTTACATATATGCCAGGTCATATCCATACACTAGGAAAATTATAATCTTTAATTTAAGGAGAAGAATTCAAAAGGAACGTTTCTGTTATGAGAAAAACTTCTGTAACTACCTTAGTGCTATTTTGTGATTACCTAAATTAATGAAACATTTTATCCGTGTTTCAAATTTCGAATTCAGTTCAATCACTTGTTAATAATATTGTTTATTTATTATATTTTCTTAACTATTTACTATGCAATGAAAAGTTGATTAAACTTTTCTCGAGTGTAGTTGAAAATGTGGTTTTCAATTCCATTTGCCACAAAATTATAAGGAAGTTTCATTCCCCGCCGATTAGGCAGCCAATTAATAGAGCATTAAGCCGGAATTCTGTGGGCAGGTTGTCAATACCACGCGCTGACTTGGATCAAGTGTCCTGTCCGTGCAAATTGCATATCCTTTTCACCGGCACCGAGTCCTAAGTCCCATTCAGTGCGCTGTCCATCCTCTGTTAGTCCGCTTAGATGGCCGCTTCGCTGCTAATTAGTCGATTTGCTTGACTTGCACTTAATTAGTGGCGTACGCCTTCATGGCCGGCATGCAATTAGCCTGGGGATTTTAAATTGGCCCTCAGTATCAGGCCCCCGGTATCGGGTTCAATTCGTTTGCTCATTTGTCATTTGTTATTGGGCCGGCCAGGTGGTGTAAATGCTTTAAAATTCAGTCCAAAGCTCATAAAAGTTTAACAACGCTGAAGCGAAAGGTAAACAGACTTGAGGAAAATTGCTGGCAATTACATTATTATTTGCATTCAGGGAGTTTGCCCAAGCCTAAGCCGCGACCACTGTCACGGGAAAAGCTTGGCGAGTCCTAAGTGGTTATGGTCAAGAGGGTTGGGTTGGGAATGGGAGAACGGGGCAGCGTTTCCTTATTGCGAGAAATCTTGGTGCCGGTCAGAGGATATTATGGCCATTGCCGGCATCCCACTGGAGAGTGTTTTGGGCCAGGGCTCGAAGGGACCGGCGACCCAAAGCGGACCGGAGTGGGGTGGTATTCATCATTTCTCGACCGTAGTTTCCGTTTCCGGGTAGCTGTAGGTAGGTGTGAATGTGTGCGAGGGGGCGGGCTTAAACTTTTCATAAACCTTAAGTGGAAAACTTTTATTTTATACCCATCACAGGGATGGTGGCGGCTGCTGCTGTTTATGCCACCTATTTGATTCAGTCAGCACGGTCGGAAATTGAACAATATGTAGGCCCGAGCGGTCGCCAAAGCGGGCCAAAGTCACGTAAGGCGAAAGTTTCTCGAAATCATTTTAACGCCTTTTGAATTTTTTTTCTCTGTGAAAAGTTTTCCTCTTCCCGTTCCTCTTTTATTCCCGCGTTTCCGATGCCTGAGAGTAGGCAATAAAAATTGTCAAACAATAAATATTTGCGGTAGGTCAGCGGGTCGCCGAAGCGGGACTGAAGTGAAATTGAAGTTGAGTTTGGGTTTGGGTTTGAAGTGCGCATTATCCTGGCAGCCTCCCCCAGCCTTACCCCATGGGGAAACAATTTTTTAGTCAAATGGAATATATTTGTTTTATTGTTTTTATTATCGCACACAAGTGTTGAAGTTTTTTTGTATTGCGATTCTCAGTTGTTTCATTATTATCCAGTGCCGGAGTGTGAATCCCCCTGAATGTTCATACTGCATCACTCTATATGTACATATGTATGTACATATGGATAAAAACATGCTGCTGCTTTTTTACCTAATATTAATTTCTATGTACATAAATTTAGTTGTTCACGTTGATGTTTGCCAGCAACATTTTCGACAGGCATCGCTGCATTTTAATGTCGAAAAGGGGGCGTGGCTGCGGCATAATCCTTTCTTCTCTTTCTGAATACTCTTAGTTTGGTATTTTAAATACAAGTACTTTTGATAAAAATAATATTTAAATACATAGATATATTTACCTTTATAAAATATTATTAAAATATCAGACTATTTATATATTATTTCAAATGGTAAATCTTATGAAGAGCATTCCTGTGTTCGTTCCGTTTAAGCCTTTTATTTCTTTCATTTCTCTCGTTGATATATTTTTTTTAAATGTTTAATTTATTTATGTACGTTGCTTTTAAATGTATTTTGTTGCTGTCGCTGATAGTGGTCCTCTGGTCGCAGGACTCGGGTACTGGTGAATCGTCCTTGCCGCCCGGTGGACATGTGCATATTTCATGACAAAATTGCATATTTTAGCGCAAAGCCAAAGCCGAAAGCCAGCGACGGATCCAGGGCCGCCGGTTGCAGAGTCGAGGGGATCCCCCTGTCTCCCCCGCAGCCATGGTGTAAATTTCAAGCCAAGTGTAACACCTTTTTGCTGTCATGATGTTTTTAGGCGGTTTGGAATCGCTTCTGTCTGCTTTCGTTTTTTGTTTTTTTTTTTTGTATTGTTTACCCCTTTTTTTGTTATATTTTCCCCATTTGTTTTTCCACTGAAATTTACATACATCATAGTCATTGCAGTTCAGGACATTTTGATGGGAACAGTTAACTTTTTTAAGCCGCAAATTGAAAGAAAATAAAATGTAAAAAATAGCAGTGGCACTTTGTGTTCCTTTTGTTTTCCCTGATTTTGTTTGGCGGCGTTGACGGCGACTTTCAATTTTCCCAACGACCACCAACCGCAGGAGGCGTTTTTCCATTTACCAATATTTTTTTCTCTCTCTCTACCAGCTTGTTCCCTTTTATTTTCCATGTTTGTTTAGTGAGATTGATTTGATTTGGGCAGCCAGCCCCCGAACAGGGAACAGCGACAATAAATTTATTTGACAACTTCTGCCATTTATTGAAGTGAGCATGGGGTGCATTTTATATTATTTTTTTCATTTCCGCTCCCATTTAATATTGCATTTACTTGGAATTTTAGGAAAATAAATATGGTAAAATGTTTTAAACTTTATCTTGCTTTAGATATTAGGAACTTCTTTGTAAAGAATTGTTAAAAACATGTTTTACGATCATTGGTCATCCTGAAATCGCTTGATTGTACGCTGTAGTTCCTGTCTTGCCTTGAAGACATCCGCATATAGCTCTCCATTGGGACCTTCCTCTGAACAGTGCTGACCGTATATATCAATGCCGCATAGACGATCCTTGTGGAGCAGCAGGTCCCCTTTGATTGTCCGACAGTCAGCCTTCCGGTTTAAATTCTGAACACAAATCATGGTCTGCGTGATGAAGGCCAACTCATCGCTGGCATAGCTCTCCTTGCAGTTTCTATTGGCGATGACATTGGTTCGCAGAAACTGCAGATTCCTCTTGGACATGTATATGGTGACATTGTCCTTTGGCCGAAGCGGTTCGTCGCAAAGTTCTATTGGCTGGATCAGGGCATCTTTAAGGGGCAGTTTTAGAACCATCAGAGCCATGTCTTCGGTTTTACTAGAGCTCTCGCCGAGAATGATGTTAGACACCTCATAGATACGACTCTTACTGGCCTGCAACTTATACTCCCGAGCCTGGGGTGACTTGGTCCCCTTCGAGAGATTGAAGCAGTGGGCGGAGGTCAGCACTAGGCGGGTGGAGATTAAAGCACCACTGCAAATGACCTCCTGGCCATGGATCACCTTTAACAGAAAGTGTTTGGCTGTCTTTGGTTTGACTGTCGTATGGCTAATTGTTGGCTTCGTGGTCAGGGGGCTCTCATTTCGAGGGGGTTTGATCTCCTTGCTGTCCGGCAGGCTGTAACTCACTGTAGGTCCTCTGGGGGCTAGTCTAGGTGATGTTTCATAGGTGTATGGCACCAGATACTCAATGACCCGCACAATTTGATAAGGTTTTCCATTGGGCAGCACATCTGCCGCAGTTAGTTGAGGGATCGACAGTCCAGTGCCCAATTCCTGAGAGTTTCCACGACTTAGAACCAGGTATAGTGCGATCAGCAAGCATCGTGGCTGCATAATGAGCGGAAACTGAGCAAGTTCCAGACGCAAAGAAGGTCTCTAACTCATCAGATTTTTCACGCTTTAACTTTACTGTATTAAATTCCAGATAATTGACGTAGCAACCAATGCTGCTGCACTGCATCGTATGGAACCCGAAACCCTTACCTTTGCCATGAAGCTGAAATCCGAGTCTTGGAATCATTGATGATGCGTACAATTCACGAATTCCCATCCAGCTGCTGGTCATTCGTCGTCCCGCAAAGATATACGACATGAACCCAGCAATCCGGACTGAGGGAAGTGGCCGCTACACAAAAACCGGAAAAAGCAAATCGCCGAAACACAAACAAGCAGCGAATGCATCTCCCATTGACGACTGATGACACTGTGTCCAGCAGCTGACTTTTATTTATGGCCGAATGGAATTCGAGGCGCCTGTCAAAGCAACAAGCTTCGCTTCGATCCACACGGCGTATGCGTAATCAAAATGTTTTGCCTGGTAAATGGTAAATGGCAAACATAAACACGTACGGCTGTCAGTTGTCGAATAGTGTGGCTTTGTTGACAACGTGTCAGTTCTAATGACCAAACACGCCTCGTAAACACAAACATCTGAAGTGCAATCCGATAGCCTTTGATGCGGCACAGGGATCTTAAATATGCTCTATGAAATGCAGAAATATCTAGCTATAAATAGTACCAAAAACGTATTCAATATCCGCACAAGAAATCGAATTTCTCTGGGCGTCTTTGTGCAATTTGAAAATTGTTTTTGTGCATTTCAGTAAATTAAGAAGAATGGCGGACCGCTTCGGCTGGACCTCTGCTCATTTGCTGAATTTATGGCCGGCGCTTAAACTGAATTGACAATCAATAGTCCCTGGACAGAGGAGCTGTGTCTGTGGCCGGATCCGTAGCTGAAGCAGGGGGCCGGGCAGAGCTCATAAACAATGCGGCCAATTTACATGCCCAGGGATCGACCGCACCACCATGTGTGTGTCTCGTCCTTTCCAGGACCTTGTGTGTATGTGCATGTGTGTGCGAATAGGGCCTTGTGTTGCTTTTATTGTTGTCGTTGAAAATGAAAAATTGTCCCTTTGTTGCATATAAAAACAATGGGCCGAAGAACTTGAAATCAATTTCAAACGTTTTAGGCAAAGCCAATTGATTTATTTGTTGGGCGGCTCTTTCTCTCTCTCTGGGTGTGTTGTGTGTGTTTTGTGTGCGTGTTAGTTGTGTGTTTTGGCCATTGTTTGGCATTACTTTTGCCTTGAATGAAGCCCTGGCAGCTTAACTTGCCAGTTCTTTGAAATGTGGCACCGTTTCCGAGATGTTTCTGTTTGGCCAACTTAAAGCCCAGACCTTCGACCCGAAACAATTAACACTGAGTGCGGAAAGTCAAGGGCTTCGGCTCGGTGCGCTGTGTTTTTTTCGCTTTACACTTGATAAACTTTTTATTGCTTCCAAACAATTTAAAATCGAGATCGAGTGGAAGCGGTCTGGGAGCGGTCTGAATTACAATAATGCTCCTGGCTGGGTTCAGTTCAGTTCGGTTTGTTGATGGCTCCGGCCAATTGGTAAGACAAACTGCTGCAGCTGCTTGCGATGAAGTGGAGTCGACTTGAGTGGAGTGAGGCAATGACAGAATTCGAATTGGTAATTGAATAAAAACAACGAGAGCATTGCACAGTCCAAACAAGTCCCAGATGGATCCGGAGCTGGCTTCTTATGTGGTTTCCCATGCCACCCAATTGCACCAAAAGAATTGGGTATTTAATATAATAATGGGTATCAAATATTGAGAATTTAAAATAAGATTATTAATCTACATTTTGTTAAAAGTTATTACGATAAGAAAATATTCTAACTTATTTTTAAACAGGTTATGTCTAGATATAGAAAAGATATTTCTCGGTGTGCCTGATTGCCCCAGCTCCCTGACACATATCGCAATGCAATGGAGCGTGAAATAAATGAAGAGGCCGTCGGTTGGATGCGACTGGAGCGAAGTCCTTTGGGGGGCAACTGGCCTTCTCAAATCCAAAACAAAATGCCATGTTGAGCAACCAAACCCAAACCAAGGAAGCCAAGGCAGCCAAAGCATCCACACCCACGCTTGCCGTGATGGTCTTTGGACATTTTTACGCCTTTTATACAGTTGACTGCATAAATTCATGGACGGGATATGGTTACGCATTTTAAACAACGCTCGTCGACCAAGTCCCGGGAATCGAGACAAGTGTGGGGGTTAGGTCTTTGTCTCTCCAAAAAAACGAAACCGAAAAGGATCTCGGCAAACACTGGAAACGGCTTGAGATTGCGGGGGCCTGCAAATAGCAGCAGCTTAAAGCTGATTTAACAAAGTTGGCTTAGCGTCCCGGACTCCACTTGTTGCCCTTGTTGGCCCAGACCAAGTTTTCTCTGGGCCCCGAGCATTGCTCATTATTGCGAAATATTTTGGGCCAAGCTTTAGTTTCAAGTTTGATTTGTTTACACATGAGTTTTTGGCGAGACCGAGGGAGACTGTTTTGCTGCCAGCTAACAAGTTGCAAATTAAGCTAAAATGTGTATTTTGCCAAAAGTGCTGTGGGTAGGGTGGGTGGCATCCAGGCTTGGCTGTTGGTGTTGGTGTTCGGGTTGGGATCAGAATTGAGATTGGGGCAGGCACACACACACAGACACAAGCACGTAAATACATGCATGTAAACGAGCATAAAAACCGCACAGTCAAACGCACTAACAAGCAGCAGTAATCAGTGTGGCAGCAGCAAGAGTGAAGCACCAACAGCATTCGGGCGATGAAGGAAATTACATGCACAGAAGTTGAAACAATAGCTGCAAGTCTGGCCTGGCTCATCACGGTGCTAGCCATGGCCATCATCCCCCGTCATTGTCATCATCATCAGCAGCAGGACCAGTACCAGCAGCATCATCATCAGCCGGAGCAGCCGCAGGACACCTCCCCCAAAAGGCTATTGACCCAATTTCTGGGCAAACAATGGACCTGCAGAAAAGAAATCACAAAAGCGAAGCCAAATCTCGGGCTCGAGCCAAAAACCACTTGACAATCCCAGCTAAAGCTGCTGCTTCTCTCCTACACAGGCAAAAAAAAGTATGCTTTATCCTGGTTAAGTCCTGCAATCCGAATGTTGATGGTCATTCCAGCTTCAGTTTGCCAAAGTGGTGAGTACTTTAGGGAAAGACTTTAATTTTGTGTATTTAATTTGAAAGTTTTACATTTGGGATATTTTCTACAGGGACTTGTAATAGTTTGTTTGCTTTTAAAGTCTTACATAATATTTAATGATGGACCTTAAAAGGTCTTAAAATTAACCAGTATAATTTGTATAATTTTTACATTTATTTTAATATTATATTCTTGATATACCTACTACTTCTTCTCTGACAGTGCATCCTGCTGGCTGTCTGTCGGCGGCATTGAGCCAAATGTTTTGGCTATGAGCAATGTGTTTACCACTGTCCGTCCACAGCTGCCCGCTTTCGCCCGCTGATATCCGCTTCCTCAACGTCGATGGCGACAAAACAAGTGAAAGTTTATTACATCTCCGGCAGACGGTCATCCAGCCAACCAGCCAGGCAGCCAGCCGGGGAGCCTGAAAATCAATAAAATGCAATTGCATGGCAAATGACCCATATAACCCCCAGCTCCTGCGAGTCCCAAACTCAAACCTCCCCCGGAGCAGATCCGGCCAGTTCATGGCCCCGGGCCTGTGGCAAGGAGCTGCAGCCTGCAGCCTGCGGCAGGGCGTAATTGTGCCAAATTATAAATTATTTCGAATTTGCTAGGGCGCAAACGATGCTCCAAGGAGCTGCCAGCCTGCCGCCGTTGCCTGCAATTAATTTTGTGCAACGCCAATCGAACGGCGAACGGCGAACGGAGAACTGCGAATGGCAAACGACGAGGAAGTGTGGTGGCTCTTCGAGGGCAAGGGCTAAGCGCATAATTTAAATTTCTAATTAACAGTCAAATAAATTGTGCCAGCTGCCAGGCTGTCGTGGCAATTGAGCCGTGCCAAGTGATTTTATGGCCGAAATGCTCATTAAATTAACGGCAATTTGCAGCCACAGAGACAAATGCAGAGCGCCAGGTGAGAAACGGTGGGGGAGTAAGTAATCCGGCAGCTTAGTTGCACCTTTGGAAATCTAGTGCTTAAAGGGCTCAAGGCACTCGACATGGCTCCTAGAAAGGCTTGCTTAACGGGGTTAATGAATAGTGGAAATTAGCAGAAGGAAACACCGGCACTTCGGTCTCTGTTACGGATTGGTGTGATATTTGACTTTTGATTGCTCCAGGAAATTCATTATGTTTTTGTTTTCTAATGAACGTAGGATTTTCCGATTACTTTCAGAGATTCTTGTCTGGGTTTCTTCATTAACTGAAATGCATTTGAAGACTGTTATCCATTACTATACCATTCGTTCCTGTATTTGACTTTCATTTAATACTTATTGAAACCTTCTTATTGAACTAACCCAACTGCTTTTCAATGGACCTTTGATTTTGTTTATAGATATCCTGTTTTCACTGTTTTAGCTAGTTAATGAATAGTTTCTTTACAGCTAAATGATTCTTTTGAGTTGCTGATGGCAACGTGGCGTATGCGTGTTATTTGCAAATCGTCAAAGTAGCGGACACCACTCAGCGAGAATGAAATTGAATTTCTTATCATCACAGCCATAGTGCGCGGCCGTCTTGCCGGGTTAAACGGGGCGTGTGGCAGCCATATCCTTGGCACCGGCTGTGCGCTCGGCGAAAAAACATTCAATTAGTTTGATTTACACTCTTCAAAATGTTGCCACTCGCCCAATGCGATACGATGCGAGGACGAGGAGGCTATGGATTCCGGAGAATGGCGCTCTGGGTGCCCCATGTTGCCAAAGCCTGGGCTCCCTTTGTGCGACTGTTGGCGTTTCCGTTTCCGCTGTTTAACAAGCGACTTTTGGCAGCGCCTCCTCCTAACAACAACAGGACCTGGAGTAGGAGCGGGAGCATTGCCAAAATCGTGTACGCTCCTGCGTGCCAAAAAGAGACCAAGCTGAGAATGCCTCCCCTACCCATTTTTACTTCCAAATCCCCCAGTCCGTAGTTTACAGCGCAGTGCGCCTCCTTCCTCAATATTAGTTTTGGGGGCGGCAGCAAAACGCTTCCGGCAGCCAAATGCCAGCTCGTCGTCCTTGTCGTTGTTGTCGGCCAGAGCCATTCGATGATTTTTCAATTTGCATTCGACACAGCGCGAGAATGTCAAAGACCAAATTGAAATGGCAGAATTCTGGAACTTATAATCATATGCAGAGCACAGCCTTGAGAGGCATCCCGAATCAGAGTGAGGATGGGAATCCAGCTT